GGACCGCCCCAGACAGGTTATACACCTCCATCATCAGTAAGACAATGTCAGCCTCCAACCTACACTTTAAGGAATCAGCGCAATTCGTTAACACCTGGAAAGAGACCAGAGTTGTAAAGGGAGTGGAGCCACACCTCTCCAGTTGAGTTGCTATAGAGTACACCGGGCGCGATGGACGAAATAAAGTGCATGCAACATTGCATTTCATCTCAACTTCGTTGCAAACTTTAACGACAGAAATGCCTTTTTGTCTAGGGTTTTGTATTTAAAAATGTTGCTAATGATGTGGAGCGAATTACGATTATATACCGCAGAACCAACCCACCTCTCACCTTATTCCTCCGATAAGCGTTGAACATAGCACAACAATTAAAGTCGATTTAGGGCAGTCAAGTGTCAACATGTTAGTAAATGAGGACATGAACGAGAAGGGGTAGAAAGAGGAATGCGATGTTTTGGATGTGTTTTGGCTTTCTTTCATCATGAATAGATGATCAGGTATTGTTCTACAAATGCGCAGAAGGTGTGTTCATTTCGCCAATGCAAAGGTAAGAGATGATGTTCTGAAGCATTGTAGGATGGCCAAACAACGGGCTGGTAATCAGTTTGCTCTCCTATTTAGCGAAACTAAATCCAGACTTCCCAGCGTTTAAGGGACAAAATGTTTTCTTATGCTAAAACTTATGGAATTGTTGTTGCTGTTCTCTACATTGCCGCAAATATCTAAATGCCTGGAAGCAGTCAGTTAGAAAACAAAGGCAGAAAGTTCACGATATGCCTTTCAATTCTTTAAACAGATTGCATCGCTTAAGTTAGGGCTGACAAATTGGACGGCTACAGCGTTCGAAGGTGATTGACAGAGACCGTCATAATAATGCCGTCATAAAAATATCCTTATTCATCATTTAGCGGCGATGCATTAAGAAGAAAATGCGCCTAATTAAACAGGGAGATGAATCCACAATCATCTGAGCGTATGCTTTCACCAGGCTTCCCAAAAGGAGTGAATTTGCTTGAAGTGATCACAATTTTACATCTCACATCATAAAAGTAAAAATGAAAAGATATTGAACGCATGGCTAAATTCGTAGAGACAAGGTCATATGATGCGCCAGAGTTTGAACATGCCCACCTGACTTTGGTTTGAAAGTGAAGTAGCCTTTTGCCATGAAATCCTCCTTAAGGTCATCCGTAACAGCTTAGCGGAATGTCATTATTTCCTTCCCTTCTTGACAAAAGTACATCTTCAAGGCAGAATACCCTGAAAACTTGGGTTGTAACCAAAATTTTTTCTCCGGAGGAGGGAGGGATTGAGGCACAAGCTACTCTTAACGCTCAAGTGGTGCGTCAGTATATTAAATCTTCAAGTAGCACTTCAGGCAAATGTAGTGGTGTGACCAGCCTCCGCCGGAGGACCAAAGGCGTCAACTTCTTTTCTGAATGGGACCCCTTAAAGGACAGTCAGCTGCACAAGTTCTTTACAATAATCTTGTAAATGTAAAGAGGCTATGAATGTTTAGCAGCTTAAATTCTTTATTATCACCAATCATGTACTCTCCTTGCATTATGTGGTGCCGGGTTGATAATGAGAATCGCTTTTCTTAAATAAAAGGTCATGAGGAGGATTCTGATGTGCTCTTCTTTGACAGAGATTTAAAATTTGGGGATGAATCCGTAACAAGCGAGATGAGACTCAAAGGCTTTTTTCTTTGGCTGCAACGACGATCCCTTGGCATCAAGTTTTGTTACCCCTAGAATGAGTAATAGAAAGTCTCAAAACATTCCTGAAGTGTATTTTCATAAAAGGAGGTGCAAATTGATACAAAACAATTAGTAATCATAGAAAATGGGTCCCATTCTAAGGCTTCAAGCTCACAGAAGTAACACCAGATCACTGTTCCGAGTGTCGACAACTTCTTAATCCTGGATCATATACATTCGGCACATCTTTATGCAATTTCTCTCAACTTCACCGGCTTTTCCTTCATCCGAATTGCGTCAGGTATTGTTTGTCCGTGAATGCCATATGCAAAGGGTCAGCTTGCACACTTATTTCCCATTTAAAATTTTCTAATGGAAAGTATCCTTGTAAACTGCACCACCGAATTAAAAAGGAGGATTGGAAAGACAACATGGTGACTTGCCTTTGAGGAACCATGCTCCCTGATACAATAAAAGAGTTGAAGAGTTGTCTGATCACCTTAGTTCGGAGTGGACTTAACCGTTGTCACAGTGTAACGGAATGGTGCTAAATCACCTTTATTGTAAAATATACGCTAGCTCTATTCTTTCGGCGATTACCAAAAAGAGGTAACATCTTCACATTACATTGTGATCTTGCGGGCCGGGCAAGTATGGGATCTTTGGGTGGCATATATGAAAAGGAGGAAATGTGTGACATGGAAGCAGTCATGTCACCCTTTTTGACCTAAAGAATGCAAACTGCCCATTCATCACTACGTAATAACACAGTCATTGTGACTTTAAATAATGTGAAGTATCTTTCGCGATCCTGCGAATGGTCATAGAAAAGAGAATTTCAATTGGCGAGATAAAATAGGAATGCAAGAAAGGGTATCCAAGGTTAAAGCAGTTTGCTCTGAGTCCTCCAGAAGGGCTGACACGCGGTGAGCCTGAGCAGCATGCTGGATACCTAGTTGTGGTTCAGAAGTGTGGAGACTGAAGAGACCACAATGGTGAGTATATTACTAGAGTAAATGCCGTCTATTCACAGACACCATCAATGTCTCACTGATGCTAGGTGCAGCGCAGCTTCTCACTGTCATTGGATGAAGTAGCGCCCCGAAGCACAGCATTGCGCTAAGTAGCGTATCCTTACTTCAGATTGTGCTGCGATTAACTTATTCTTGCCTTCCCCACACCTTAAAAGCTAACTATTCAACAAAGTATTCCTTACCAAAATATGGCTGTGGCGACTGCTTTAGCTCTACTTTTTGTCGACCTAGTTAACTATAGTTGATATCTGGCCGTATTACCAGTGAACTTGGTCGCTTGCGCGAAGAAAAATCTAATCTAAACACTTATGGCTTTTGTGGAAATTGGCCTCCACTCATTCACACTATCCAACTGGGAGGCATCGAGAGAGTCAGGGAGTGATGGCTGAACTGCCAAATCGTGGGAAACCGGTCATGCATATACCCTACCATTGCAAGAATTATACTTTGGCGGCTAATTTCTGCTAAAAAATCCACTTTTTAAGCGCATCTGGATAGTTCTTTACGACGATTAGTGATGAAATACTAGATCCAAGTTGGGGTCATTTTGGTGGGCTTTGAACTGTGCTAGTCGGAAGGCGCATTGCAAGGTACTTATATCTATTTCCTAAGGTGGTAGTTGACAATCGAATCGTAAAGCGTTAAAATTCCTTCAATGATTAAACAATTGAAAGGAATTATCATGAAATGTTCGAGATAGAAGGGAAAAACTGAGATGGCAGAGGAGTCTAATGCTTTCTGATGCAATTAGATTTTTGATACAATGGGAAAGCACACCAATGTGCTCTAAATAAGTGGATATCGTCATACTTTAACGAGGTGGTGGGAATTGATTAGTAGGTTAAAACGATGCGTCAAAGACGTGCGCGCAATTTAACATAAGGAATCCTTCAGCAATCATTTGGGATGCCTAATAGCAAATCGTTTTCCAACTTTTTGCTCGATGATGTCGACCAACGAACAATGTGCATGTCCAACAGCTGAGGATTTTGGTACGTATTTATTCTAACCTTAAGGGATTACAAACACCACCTTTAACCAGAGGCGATAGTGTCCAGATAACTTCATGTTGTATTGCTATTTTACAGAAAGCTGGAATAAGTGCCTTGCCACTTTCTTTCCTCAAGGTTTCATCAGAATGCCAAAGACCTACTCCACTGGAGGAGGTATATGAGAGAAAAGGCAAGACAATCCTCTCTCACAGCAACTGATAGGGATTGCGGTGATCAGGGGCGGTAACTTCCTCCTACTGTCAACTTACTCCACTTCATTTTGCATAGCTCAGCCCCACAACTGTACTAGCTTCAACCACACGTAAGGCGCCTCGCAACGCCTTACAGGATAACTGAAAGGTATGTACTACGATGGACATGGAATGAATAAGATGTTGGAACGTACTTTGCGGTGAATAAACTTTGGAGGACATGATAAATGCTTGCCTTCTTCTTCTTCTTTCTGGATATAACGCCCTTGAGAAGAAAATTTGCGTTGCCGTGTTACCTGCTAAATAAAGGATCCTTCAGTATACAGCAAACGAGTTTACAGCTGGGAGGTCTTTAAACTTTCCGTCTATCTACTCCTATGCACTCCCAGTAAGAAATATTTGGACAATTTCATCAAGCACGAATGGGTTAAGGCAAAGCGCTTTGCCAATCCAATCCATCATGGTAAATCTGTTCCCTCGTCACACTCAAGTATATCGGTAACATCTTGGCACTTTTCAAGGACACTGTAACGAGAAGTAAAGGAAATCGGACAAATAAAACTGTATATGGCATTTTGCTACCTGGAAACATAGTGATTGATGCACTGAAATATCAAGCCATCTTCCTGATGAAACAGCATTTTCATATTAGCGTAAAGACTCGAAATATTGAAAGCACAAACTCAATTTGTTTATTTGGCTAAGATTGCTGGCTGCCAAGAGGAATTGGAGATCAAAGTTGTTTCCGATGAGTCCCGATTTGAAAAGTTCCTACCATGTGGATGCCGTTCACAACAGATACCCTCCTTCCATCGAATGGGATCATGATTTCTGTTCATACATTCGAGCCCAAAAATCCTTTCTTTAGGCCATATAGGATTACTGGCCCGCAGCTACTGATGCGTTAGTAGAAGTGGCCAATTTTACACGCTAGGCTAGGCCCGCCAACCACCAACCGATTCACTTCGTGGATACAGGGACTGAGCTACTTCTCAGTTGCAAACACAGATGTCAATTTGATGTTCGAAGTAATAAACAAGCAGACATTTTTAGTGTAAACAAGTGATCCCTTGATTTACAACGGGCATGTTTCCGAACGGGGTGCCGTTATTGTCAGATTGGCTCTCAAAAATCTAAAAAGGAATTATCTTAAGCAAACTATGGAAAAGCATGAATTTAAGTGAAAGAGTACCCTGTACTCACTCCTTGATCACTTCTTTAGCAATCCTTTTATCACTTGGAGGAAGTAAAGGACTGTTTGACAAACTAAGGACATAAGGGCGTCTGTCAATCGGTCTGCTCGGGTAGTTGCTGAGCGCCCATCAACTAAGAATAGCGTTCCTTAAATCGGCACAGGCAAAAAACTGGATTTGGTAACCCGAAGGTTTATCTTGCCAAAGAAGCCACAATCAGGCTAAATAATGGGTTTGCATGAGCAATCGCAAATGGTTGGTTAAATTGTAAAGCAATATTTTGAATGAGCTGCAGTAGACTCGCAACATATTGCTGCTAATGGCTTTTCCGAAATACTACTTTATCCGGCGATATCAGGCGTAATATCAGCCAAAGATATTCTCCTGGAAAATTGTTTCACTCCTCGATTCAATTGCATTTCCGTGGTGACATGAAATGTACTGGTCCTAAAAACGCACGATTCGACAAAACGAGGGAATATTGGCTTTTCTTCCTGCTTCTGTGGAGTTTGTTAATCAGAAATAGCTTCTAGTATTCGCCAGTTTTATCAGCCAATATCGAGATGGGACGACTCATTGATATAGTATTTGCATGTGGTACCCAAACACTGAACTTATCCACAAGGGGAACATCCTATCCATTTAAACCTATTGACACCATTTTGAACACAAGGTCGATACAGCTGAATCCGGCGAAGACAAGTCACTGTTTCCGTGCCCAAAAGCTCCAAGCAGGTGAATCACTGTGACCAAACGCTTTCAGATGTTGCCATCTTTAAGGCAAGTCGGATGCTTTCAATGGTCATCTGAGACTACAATGTCCTGCTCCTATTTGGCAGAAGTGAAGACTCAAGGCACCTACGTCTACAATAATTGTGTTAGAGACAATCAAGTGGAAACAAAGCTTTTGTTTTTACAAGAATTCGGTGAAATAGGAAAACAATATAGCAGCACTGTGAGAAGCGGCAAGCAACGCTAGGGCATCAGTCTGGCCGGATACCGTTAACTAGGATGGTGGACAAGCGTTGACTGAAATTGTTTGTCTACAGGGGCGTGTAGCAATGAAATAATAATTGAAATCAGTGTGAATTTAGGCGTAGGAAAGACTCCAGGCAACGGAATACTGAACAACAATGTAAAATTTGACCAGCCATCAAAAGTTGGTCATGGGAGGTAGTAGTCCGGTGATGCTCAGCTCTCGGCAGGCGTTTGCGCAAACATGGCCAGCTTTCTTCTTTGACCAGCGCAGAAGCAGGGTGGAGTAGGCTGGAACAACTGGGTATATGCGGCAGAAAAACCCTATCTATGCATTTTGTCATGCCAAAACTACAAAAGTGAGATTTTGTAGCCTTCAAGTCTCACTTTACAGCTGCGCATTATTCTAAATTCATGGTTTCAAAAGTCATTGGGGATAATTTATTTTTCATGGATCTCGATGAAACAAAATGTGTGAAGAATCATTAGGATCTTAAGGCTGGGCAATAAGTCCCATTCCGCAACCTTGTTGACCCCACAAAGACTAAAGTAAGTGCTAAAAACTAAAAAAGCTTTGCGGTCTCCCATCTGCTCATAAAGGGATTTAGGAGCCTCTAATATTCGTTATTTGAGGTTACCATCGACAACAATCAAGGCTTCGTTCGTTTTGTCGCTTCCGACGGGAAGATAAAACAGCACCTATTGCATAATTGCTCGCAACCTGCACATGAACAAAGTAGCTACCTAATTAGTTGCAGTATAGAGTGTTTTCCTACCATACGACTGATGATCACAATTAAATCGTCATTTGTACCAATAGCATTACAGTCATAGGCGAACCTGCCTAATTTGCTCTGATCGCATGCCCCTCCCACTTGCCTATTAGCATTGACAACACAGCGCCAAATTGATGTATTTTTGAATTAGAATATGACTGTGGATTGGCACTTTTCTTCGATGGAGATGCTGAATGCAAGTGCTGAAGCACAGATTGTAACTGCTGATCACCTTCTCGAGCAATATGAAATGGGGTGTCTGTTCTGCAAACCAAGTGAAAAAAGCTCATCCTACCCACTACAAAGTTGGTCGGAGTTAACAGAAGCCTATGCGTGTAGTGCTATTGGTCT